GAAGAGCTCGATTGGAAGGTGTTGTCAGGCGCGTCTTCTGACGAAAGCGCGTCGGCGAAACAAATGCTCCGCTCCACCAACGAGAACATCAAGGTTTCAAGCTTCTTCGGGAGAGTTCTCAAAGCAGATGACGGGGAGACGGCTGTCTGTCGATAGACTACTGAAACCGGTGAAGATGTCAAGGGAGAGATGTGACGCGATCAATGACGAGGATACGGAAATCGTTTCAGCAGAGTTCGCAACGGAATCATCTCGTGGAACGCACTCGACATTTTTCGGCAACAAGCCGAGAAGTTGCTTCGATTTGAAGCTCGCGAACGCTTCGCGCCGCCGCGGCGGCCGGGAGATTGATCGATTGATTCATTAACCATTTCTTCGCTTTAAATGTTATGTTGTATGCGCGAAACATGAAAGCGCCTATAACGCAACGAGGAATCGAAGGACTCGTTCGCTACGACCAGCGAGAATTTCTGTCGTGGAATAATTTGATGCCCCTGACGAGCTTCGGATGATGAATCGTTCACGCCGACTCAAGAAGATCGTTAGCATTGGAGCAATTGTTCCGGAGCGAGCATCGTTTCCGATGATGTTCTTTCGTTTAATGAACTCTCGACCGTAAGAAAACTCCCAAAGAAATGGAACGGGGTCAGACATCACACAGAATCGTGGAAGAGCTGCTATCTGACGTAGAAGGATAGGATGAAAGTCCGATCGTCAGATTACAACCGCTGAAAATTACATAATTCGAACTCGCTCGTGATTTGCCCCAAAAGCGCGTCGAGCCACACATTCGAAATATTGTACATAATATATGTTTATTGCTTGATACGAAATCTTCCCACAGACCGAAATGCGCCAAAGGCAACGGGATAGTTGCTCACCTAGCGGCGCTGCGGCGACGGGGTGAAGGATGCTCTAACCACAATAGATACTCCGACCAAAGGCTACACTATACTGTTGTGATGCCCGTTGAGCTGGCAGTAGCGTCCACTCATTCAGAATTTATGTGCCATCAGAACCGTGGTGGTTTATCCAGAATTCCTAGCGGCACCAGCGAATTCAATGTTTGTGGAACGCGGAGCCCTTCGACTCGCGAGTGAGAATGCATCAAATCTATCCTCATTTCGCTATCGCAAATCACGCACCCGTTGACCTCAAGCGCGAAACTCGAGCGAATTATCACCAAGTTTTTCAACAAGCGAAATAAATAGAAACCCCAGAACAATAATGGAGACCAATCGAAATGCTCATGGCGGCACCGGCGCAGCGTCGTTGAACTCGAGTGCTCAGAAGCCCCGAAGTTTCAATGATGAAGTTCCGTATTTGCCGCCACAACGATTGCGGAATTTCGGCGGTGATATCATGCCGTATGCATGCCACCTGGAATGTCGATCGTGGACTACCTAGCTGTGGACTCAATACAGGGAGACTGCCCTGACCGTCCCGTACTCGTTCGTCCCTCGCATTCGAGTCGCTCGTCATGAAGACGGTCCACTGTATTCATGCTCTTTACAGACTGCGGGGCGAAGCTTCGGGAACTAGGACGGTTTCCCAGAGCGATTGTTCTGGGAAACGGTCTCCAAGTTCGGGAAGTCCTCAGTCGGCGAATACTCGAAACAGCGCGACCTGATGACTAGTCCGCCTCGAAAGGGGTGTTCGGAATGGGCATCCTATCTCCGAGTGCTGCTTCCTCTCTCTGGCGTTAGTTCATTTCTTGGAGCTTCATTCCCGGCGCGGGGCTTCCTTTCTGAAAAAAAGATGCCAGGTTCTGCAAGTTGCGGTTTTTTGACCGAGGATAAATCCTGACAATTCTGAGAATCCGCCGAGCCTATGGCGCATGGCCGATAAGCGAGTCTTGTGAAAGTACTGCGAAGGGACCTGCGGCTCAATCGAGATCCTATCAGAGTTTCTTAGAGACAGAGATCTGGGCGCTGCTTCTCGGATGTGGCGTGGTCATCGAGTGGTCGAAAAGCCTGCCGATCAATCGGCATTATCTTGTCTCGAATTCGTAATCAAAATTCATCCACTGCCTTCCCAATTCTTATCGATATCTAATAAGCGTACCAGATTAAGATTCGAGCGGAGTTCTCCCGAGGAGGAATATCTGTGACAAAAAATAGTGGCTGAATTCGACGGGTTGTGCAGTAGGTGTTAAAAGTCGGTGGTCTTCTTGCCCCGAGGCGCCCATGATTGAACGTCGGAAGAGGATTCATTTGGATGCCTGAGTCCAAGGTCGCCCGTCATTCTCGACCGTGGAACAGGTTCCGTTCTTTCAATCTGTGTCCCCAATGCGTCCGTCTCTCAGCAACGCGCGCTCGGTCACAAACTTACATAACTGGACTGGACTTCAAGTCAGGCGGAACAAAGAAGCCGAATAACTGCCAAAGATCGTTCGTCCGAGATTGGAACGCCTGGAACGATTGAACGATGAATCTAAACAGCGACGGACCGCTGAGGGGATGTTGCGAAAAATTGGGAGCGTCCATTCATCGCCGTTTTCTTGAACACGTTCCTGCAGAGTAGCGGAATCGTTGATTTGAATGCTTCTGTCGGAGGCCCTCCACAGAACTTCTGCAGCTGCCACGACCGAATCGCTGAAGTCATGCGCATGGCGTGAGATCTCCGAAACCCGAATTCGGCGAGAGAATGATCTGGCGCGTCCTTCGTCTCGGACTTCTCTTCTTCTTATTTCGTTGTCATCGGATTTCTCGAATTGCATCATTTCGATGTCTGGATCAGGGAGTTATCCCGAGCCTCGAACCCGACAACACAATGCTCCATCGGACATGGAGGGTCGCTCCCCACTTTGTTCATGCGCGGATCGAGGACTGCTTTCGGATGCATTTTCGGAAGTTTCCCTCTTCGTCTCCGTGGTGAGAGCCTTCTTTTCAACTGGTAATGCTTCCCATCCTCGCCAGACGTTTACGATGATCCTCCCTGCTCCGCTGATCATTCAGATTCAGTTTATTGATCGAGTCATCGTTCGGATCCAGATCGATTCGAGCCGTCCGCGGGCGTATCCTAAATTTTGCCTCCACGGGGCACCCACTGCGATGGTTTGCAGAAGAGAATGAAGCTTAGGAAAAAAAAGAATGACTCCTATGAGCACTATTTAATAGAAGAAAGGCACACCGTTGAGAATTCGGAATGCAGGAAAAGCGAGCGAAAGGAACGGAAAAAAATTGAAGAAAAAAGCCGACTGAAAAGTCATTAGAGCTCTGTCCAAAAATATCAAAACCTGCCCAACCCTCGCATTAAAAACGTTATCCAATGTCGGTTGCCCGCCGCAGGAGCAGCACTCGTCATGGTTGACGTCGAGCTAAATGTAGATAGCGTTGCTGGCATACGATTAGGCGAAGGAACCGACCGGCGGCGGCCGCAAGGAAAATGCAGCGGAGAAAACGCTCCGACGGACGGTCGAGCTCGTAGACGCGAAGGCGCTAATCACTTTGCAGTGTTCTACCCACCCGACCACCAATCTAGCGATTCGCTGCCGCGAAGACGGCCCTGACTAGCAGATACTCGTAATGTGAATATCGTAATTGGTAGAAGTTAACCATTTTTTCCCTTTGGCGGTCGCTCGATCTGTCCGCGGCATTCGCGTTTGTTCCAAGTCACTGGAATGTCTCGTTACTTTCCACCATCGCTCACACCTGAAGGATCCGACGAAGCGAAAAAATCGGACGACTGAGATAACAATAATTCCGAGCTATCTAGATTAGGCCGGATTGTTGTTCTTATCCAGAGGAACCTAGCGGTAACCTAAAGGTACTCCAATCATGAAGGGACCATTATTAGGTTATCACTCCACTTATCTTCGCGTATACATACATTATTCTCTCAGCAGCGGCGGCGAGGGGCAACTCGTAAGTTGGATGGCATGCAGGAACATGCTGTTCCGGAAGGAAAAACTTGCTAAAGGGACGGTCTTAGAATGCGCGTCGGGCCGGAAAAGACGAATTGATTGTTCCGATCACTCCGACTGTTCCTAGAAAAAAATCCGCGCAGCTCCACCGAGCCGGCTGACCGTTGAAACGGAGCGGTGGCATTGATTCCTTATTTCCTGAAGACATTATTTATCTGGCTGAGGCAGCCGCAGCAACAACGCCCAAAAGCACTCCGTCGCCTGCATGATCTGTATTTACCAAAAATCGGAACTTCCACATTTTTTCTCTAAATACACAGATGATCCGGCAGATTCCGTCGCATTGAAATCGCTCTCGCTCAAGCAGCTGCATAGTGATTCCTGAAGACCGCTCTCCATGTCGGGGCGTATCGGGAACGCGTATTCCGGCAAAACCTGCTCCGGCTGCCTTGCGGAGATACGAACAGATAGCCGGTAATTGAGTTCCCGGCTCAAAAGGGCTGTGCTGCCTCGGAAAAGCTTTCGCCTTCTACATCCCCCGAGAAAAATAGCAGCCCGAAGAGCGACGCGTGCCTCGACTGTTTCTTCGCATCGGTCAATCGATGGTCGATCCGACCGGTCTTCTTCTCAAACTTGGCCGATGTCACACTTGGTTGCTTTGGCGGCGCTGCCGGAAGACCAGGCGTGATGAGATGCAAACACCTTCTAGATGCTCACAGGATTCGTGTGGACAGCCTACTGTTGTGGGCATAGCTCGCCCTGGCGTCTGACGGAAGCTCCTGCTGGACGAGCGAATGAATGGAGAGACGAATGGACGGGACGTCGCGCCGGTTGGAGGAACGCTGCGTCCTACCGAGAGATCATTGTCATAGATACTGGGTAAATTTGGGCTGATTTCATCATAAGGGGCGTCAGTACGAGGCCAAAGGTGTTGCGGGTGCGTCGGGGAGTGAATTCACTGAAGACACCTCGAATGAACCGTGGGAGGCTTCGTATAATTTCAAGCGACGACTCCGTGATCTGCTACGTAATAATTAAAAGCCGAAGAGCGCGCACCCATGGGAATTCGTGGGAATCTGCAGTATTCGCCCGAGAATTGAAAATTCCCTGAAGGAACGGTCGCCCCGCACGTTAGGGCATACCACGTGTGTAGGAAAGGTAAGAGCCATGAGGTCAAGCGCGCCAGCCTGCTGTCATCCGGCGGAGCGGAGGATGTTGGTGTTATATTCGGAACACGATTTTTACACGCGAAACGCATTGCTTCGCGCCGGTATACGCACGCTCCTACGTCGAAAGATTGCGTGAAAGAAAGGGTCGCGCCACAGTGCTGCACCTTTGACTCTGCGAGCAAACTTGTCAGAAAATGCTGTAGTCGCTGGCCATATTCTGCCGGAAGAGTTTAACTCGTTCCGTCCGCGGTATCACTCCGACAAAACTCACTCGAGCACACACACACCTCTTCGGCTTCGGGCGACGCCGTGAGGTATTGGAAGCTGTTTGTGTTGCTGATGCGGTGCCTTGTATCCAGGAACAATCTTCGAAAGAAACCCGACGGTCGGGGGAGTATTGTCGCGCGAGAGCCCGCTTATTGTTAACGATCCGCTCGGCTCAGAAAGGAAGCCGTCCTATGCGATATCTAGTCTGGGGAATAATTATCCTCTGTTTCGTCGACACGAGAGAACATTGTTTCTCCGCATACTCGTCTTGGTTGTTACAGCGTAGATAATGACGCCGGCCGTCGACAGTGTTTGCTGGAGCCCTCGGAAACTCGAAGAAAGCGCCAGAATCCCCGGTTATGATAAAGGGGCTTTCTTGTATGTAGAGTCGGTGAAGAAAAGTAATACATGTGAAAAGGCAATCGTCCTTGGAAGTTCGTCGCCTGCCTGCCTGCCGAGAATCCCGTTGATCAGAAATAGGAGCCCTCTCGCTCATCGCGCGAAATCGCTCCGCGTCGACAAACCGACACAAGAATGCAACGGAACATATGGATCTTCCGACATTAATGTTCTTGCGGCGATGAGAGGAGCGATCTCGCTACGAGCACTCCCGGATTGCTCCGTTGGGGGTCTTGTCACAATTAATTCGAGAAGGAGGATATTATAGCTACTTGTTTTCGTCGAGTTGTCCGGCCTCCGGCGAATCTTGCCCATTACCTTGCTTTCAGGAGAAGAATAATGGTCACGAGAAAGAAATTCGGTCCACTTGATTCGGGAGATCCGAATAACGAATTCCGCTCCGCGAGTTCTGCGGAAGGTTGACTTTCAAGTTGGAGTTCTCTACGAAGAGTGCATTATGAGCTCAGATCGGCGATTCCCCGCTGAATCACCGCTTAAAACTGGATTGGGACAGAAAACATCGATTTGAATAATGACGGGTCACGAGCAAATATTGCTTCCTCTCATCTTCACCATGTCGACGATAAACTATCACAATGAATGTAATTAATGCAAATTGATACTCTTGCTCTGAAATTATGCAAGAACAGCAACGAGCTCCGTGAACGTTAAGCGTATCGATTGCGTCACGAATCGACCGGATATTCCAGTCCGCTACATCATAAAAATTCCCTACTTCTGGTCAAGCGAAGAGAGCAACAATCGCTATTATCACAATGCATGCCCCCAATCGAAGACTCTCTCGCCTGAGGCCACGAAGACGTTGCGTGAATAACTGTGTGAGGTGTTGCAATTTTATTCTGGAGACAGTTTCAAAAGATTGCCCCTCCCTTTTCGCTTGCTCTTCTGCTCTCGTTGGCGTCGATGCACGGTGGCGAATCGGTTTCTCGTCTGGAATCAGGCGGGAGAGACCGGCAGGCAGGCGGGCGGGTGGCTGGCTGAGCGAGCGGGTGGACAGCCACACACACAACCAGAACCAGATACACGACCTTGGCAGAGACAGCCAAGCCGCCAGCCGCCCCTGCCGTCAGTCTGCTCGTGATGGCCAAGTCCTTTGCGACCTTCACTAACCGGTCCGGTCGAACGAACGGAGAGTGACACCACGATCGCCAGCTCCGCCAGTAATCTATTTTCTTTCCGCCGAAATCGAGCGAATTCCACGAGAGAAAAATCAAACGGAACCGATTCGATGGTCAAGCGCGATCGGCAGAAGTCTCATCTGATTCGATGTGAATGAACTCGCGGTATGGCCGAGGTCCTCTACCTCGGCTCAAGGTCGCGAGCGACGAGTTCCCCCACGGGTTACCTCGATTGCATCGTGCTTCAAAAAGACATGCTCTCAAGGTTCCGTCGGCGTAGCCGTCTTAGAAACAAGTTGGTCGGAGCCGGCTCGGATTCCTCGCTTTCTCGCTCGATTCGGAGGACGAGTGAAGACTCCCTACCACGTGTTCATAATTTTTTTGTTTTTCTCGCAGCTCGGGCTTAAAGCACTGCGAGAACTGCTCTAATTGCTCTATGTAGATTACATCGCGACTCACGACGCGACTTGTAGCATCCGTGAACTCGTCACGGCGTCCTTGCGCAATCGCGAAACCTCAGGATATATTTTATCTGATATTGCGTTTGACATGCGCTTCACGTGACGGTGACGAACGATAGTTCCCTGTCTGTCTAGACTCTGGAGGACGTGCCGGAGGATGGACAGGAACTTTGATCGTCTCCCGAAACGAAACACATGTGGAAGTCTCGCAGTCACGAATCTGGCCCATGCGCTTCCTAACGATGAGCCCATTCGACTTCTATTCACAATCCCGACCAGACGCACGGCGACGAGTGAAGGCCGTGTTACTTCATGTGGATCTACGAGCCCTTAGATTCTTGGAGGGGGCCGCAGAACCTCCGTGGGAGCAAGACAACTAACCTCGAGTCGATCGATTTCCTTATGAGAGAACTTCAACAGAATAGGGAGAGCATCCGCATAGACGAAGAGATTTCCAATCTGACTTGTTCTTCACGATTTTTCCAGCATGGACCGAAGCGGCTTCATCGACAAGCAACGATTTCAAATGCCCCGAGCAGTTCGGATACTATCCCGACAACAGCGACTGCTCGAAATATTACGTCTGCGTTTTCGGAGACCCGCTGCACGAAAGCTGCACGGGAGGACTGTACTTCAGCGTCGAGCTCCAGACCTGTGATTGGCCAAGGAACGTGCAATGTTCTTCAGCTTCCGGCTCTCCATCGACTAACACAAATTCATCAGATCAGAAGAACAAATCCGCTGAGAATCCTGCCCGTTCCTTGTCAAGCACTTCGAAAAAGACCTCATCTCGAACAACTTGTGAGTATTTGTGTCGATTGGTATCGTTCGTTCTTGGCTCGCAACATCCTCCACTGACGATGCGAGAAGCGTACCTTCTAACCCTGAAATTAATGTCTCGCTCCCTGTGCTCAATTTCCAGCATCGACCACAGTCGCTGCGCCGTCAAGCACATCGCGACCGTCGATTGTTCGGGACTTCCAGTCCCTGTACGAAGACATCATTTCTGGAAATAATTCGACGAAGAAAAGCGTCAGTCCGCCTCTGTCAAACGCATACGACCTTCAGCAACCTGAGTACGACGAAGCCGTTCCTCCGGTTGTCGATTCAGAGGGCGGAATTCACGTCTCCGATGCAGGTAAATTCTTCGCGCCCACTTCTTCACAAGACAAGACCAAGCAGGCCCGACTCCCGAAACTACTCGACTTCGAAACAGACCAAAGGATTGACATCCACAAGAGATTTGGCTCAACCTATCTAGGTAAAGCAGGTTGCGCACGTTCGTTTGTTCGTTGGCTGGACTCTGGTTGCCTTGATGCGACCACTAAACGATCGCCCCTAAAGCTTAAACTGTCCGTCCCATTATCATAACGTTGTGGATCGTTGTCCTGTTTGCCGTGAACCAAGTCGCAACTCCAAAAAAAATCCCCTTCAAAAACCGTCGTTGTTGCTCGGATCTCGCGACGCGGTCCCAAGGGGGGAACCCCACGTTGGCATGCCACGTGCTCTCGTTTACTTGTGTCCGTTCTGTTGTCCCGTACCAAGGCAGCGTTTGCACCTGCTATTACATACATATTATGCACCGGTAATGTTCTCTGTCTCCGGGAGTTTCCTTCACTTATCAACGTTCAGTACATGTTTTGTCGTCTCGTACAGAAACGTGGAAGATAAGCGGTTCCGTTCCAGCGCTTACACAGCGGAGACAATTTCCTGTGAATTCAGAATTCGAATGGAAAAGCCGGATTGGAATGAACAAAAAAAATCGATTCGACCGCACAGTAAACGCCGTTCCTAAAGGAAGCTTGGCTTGAAATATAAACCGGAGAGAACTCAAATACTGTCTCTGTCGATGCTCACACTCGTGCGTGGCGTCTTTTCCGCCTACGAATTATCATTACTAACATAGTTTCTGAACAGGACGGCCCGACAAACTGGTGTCACCGCCAATCGTAACCGGACCCGGTCGGACAGGACGCAACCGGAACCTTCACGATGACGTAAGCGTTTTTGTGAGACCGTTGCAGTACGAAAAAAAGATCTCAAATGATGGAGGACCCCCAATTTACTACGCCGACAAGGCCGACAACCCGTCAAAGGAAATTGTTCTCGTAAGCTACCCTCGCGACGGTCGCTACAGAGATCTGGCCGTGTACGAACCGCCTCAGGTAAGGAAAATAATTTTGGTTTATATCCAAAATCAAAAACGAGTTCAATCATCTCGACTCGCATCAACAGACAGAACAAGCGCGCTCTCGTACTTTTCTCGCCGGCGGAAATGGACCGGTGCAGCGAATATTGAAACCGAGTCGATCTGGCGTCGTCGCTTGCCATTTCATTGAATTACACGATCACTCATTTGTCCGTTCGTTGCAGAGCCGTCAAATCTACACGTATACCAATCGCAATCAGAGATACTATGCGCCTCAGCCGAAGACTCCAGCCTTCAATTATCCAAATGATCTTCTGCGCGCCCCGCCAATATCCAGTGGACCTCCACAGCTGCCCCAAACGCCAAAGCCTCACATCAGCAGGGTGCAGGACAACCGCTACTTCAGCTTCAACACATTCACTCCCGCTACCCCCGTCAGATATTCTCCGGTAAGTGACTTTTGCCATCGACCGCCGTTGGTCTGGGTCCGCGAATCATCACGCCCGACGAAAACGCTATTTTCTTCAGAACTCATCCGATTCGCTTCTGATCGATCAATGATGGAGAACCTACGAAGCTCAATCCAGAGCAATCCAATTGATGGTGTCCGATCTTGATTCCATAGCATCTACATAGTCTGAGGATTTTTTCCCCGTTTGCAGTCGATCCCCGACGGAGAGAATCCCCAGTCGGCGCCTGTTGCCACTCAAGCCCCTCAGTACTCGAACCTGGACGTCCACAACAGGGATGTGCAAGCACCGCAACCGGCTCATCCCACGTCTTCCCATGGGGAGGAGGACGTCGATCAAGATGAATACGAAGACTACGGCTCATACGAGGACTATCAGAGCAATCCTCCGACGACAACGGCTCGCGCCTTGCCGCCTCCGACGACCAGCACAACTACCACGTCGAGGCCTACAACTCGTAAAGCTCGACCAAGAACGACGGCTGCTTCTGTCGTCGCAAGTTCTCCAGCGGTGAGTGCTCCCTTTGGAGACTTCAGATAGGCATCTTTCCCTTCCGACGGATATGACACGAGCAGTACCATCGATTATTTTTGGCGAATCGAGCTTTCAAATGGGTGATGCCAGAGGGAATCGGATTCTTCCCCAGAGAATTCGATTTGAGACGATTTTTTCGAGCGTTTTGTTGCCATCTCCTACGGTGCTCGACGAAAGTGAATAGTCTGAAAAAGCGAACTCCGCTTCCCGACCCGATCGGCAATGCTTTGGTCAAGGGAGAACATGCTTCTCCATTCAGAACTGCGGTCGCTGTCAAGAAGTCTTTCGATTTGTCGGAGATCAAATCCGATGTTCGAAGAACAGCATCTGGAAGATCACAGGTAAACCCGCGATGTATCGGACGGGAATGCGTCATTGGGTCTACTTGGAGAAGTTCATCCAAGCAATGCCATGAGGCTATAAGAGCCCGACTGGGTTTTAGCTCCGTGTCCCCTGGACTCGAGAGAATTTTCGGGACGATATGTCGATCTCATTGCTCCCGTTCTGAATGCTCGCTGACGACCCCGCGGTCCACGTCCGACCGAGAAAAGACTGAGGTCGACTCAGTGACGTTTGAAGACTGTCCACTGAGCTCCGCTGAATGAATAGACGAAGGGTCCAGCTGAAGTGAGGGCGTTGCGGCCAATCTGTTTCACCTTCAGTATCAGAAATCCATTGTTTGGGTTTCGCGGTTCCCTGAACAATATACCAACGCCTGGTATAGTATCAGTCGCTACTCAGCGTTGCCATTGCAATTTCGTGGATTTTCGTCTTCGCTCAAGACGACCCATTGCGCGGGATAAATATTCGACGAGGGGGAGCATTTCCAACGAGTCGACTGCGAAGGACCGATGTTCGCATCGGGCTGAAAGGCCAAGGTGGACCGGCGGCTGATTACGCGAGCGACTAAAGGGTCTTCCAAGCTACTTCCGTCTGTCGACGAAGACAAAAAACCCGCCGAACGAAAGGTATCAAATCCACACGACGAGCCCTGTCGGGGCAGCGGCCCTCGCCTGTCGGACTCGGTCGGCGGTTCTTTTAACGACAATAATTTGCGTTGACTTTCACGGTGAAGAACCTGATGACTTTTGTGAGGTGGTACACTGGCCTACCCGCACGGAGAAAACAATCGGCAATTAGTTGTTTAGCGTCCTATGTCGAGCATTGTCTGGCCGCGATTTCCGCAATGGCGACAACGATAGTCTTCTCAACGAAAACGAGACACCACAGTGAAAACCCTGTTCGTTGTTTTCGTGAATGGAGCGAGACTCGCGGTCAGCGGCAACAACAACATCTCTCGATCCGACTGACAAGCTTTCCAACAGGGAAAAGCATAAGCATCGCTAACAAACGACGGGAACGTTCACGGCATTTAACGATCTGTTTAGTCTAGATGGAGCGTAACGAGCGTTACATAAACGATCGTACCGACGAGATTCTGCTGCCGATCGTCAGTGTTCCTTTAGAACTGAATTTGATCGTTATTTCCATAGTGTGACTCGTTTCCTTCCTCATTTTTCCAGCGACAATCGCAGTCCGGTGGTCGCACCGGAATCAAACGACCCGGGACTCGACCTCCGGGACCCTCGACAACTCCGCGACCAGCTTCTAGGCCAGCCAATGTCTATCCGACCCCGGTACCGTACGAGACCGCTGGAAAGTGCTCTCGCGACATCTGTCGACTTCCGGATTGCAACTGCGCCGGTTCCGAAGTTCCAGACAACCTCCCCCAGAGCGAGGTTCCTCAGGTCGTTCTGCTGACTTTCGATGACGCAGTCAACGATCTCAACAAAGACCACTATCGGGATATCTTCGACACCGGTCGGAAGAACCCCAACGGATGCCCGATCAGGGGTACGTTCTACGTGTCGCACGAATGGACGGATTATGGCCAAGTGCAGAACCTGTACTCGAAAGGACACGAGATGGCTTCCCACACAGTAACGTGAGTGCGACGGCATAAATGCATTCCTGACAACAAATTATCGAATCTTTCGCCCAAGAACGATTTGCGGGCAATAAATCCCGAAATTACCCCCGGTTCCCTTCCCGTAGGCATAGCTTCGGGGAGAAATTCTCCGAACAGCAGTGGTTCAAAGAGGTCGCTGGCCAGAGGGAAATTCTGCACCTTTACGGTGGTGTCAAATTGGAAGACGTCCGAGGGATGCGCGCACCTTTCCTGCAGATCGGAGGAAACAAAATGTTCAAAATGCTGCACGAAGCGAACTTCACCTACGACTCATCGATGCCAGTGTTTGAGAACAACCCCCCTTACTGGCCGTACACTCTGGACTATGCGATGTCCCACGAATGCATGATAACTCCGTGTCCAAGCAGAAGTTATCCCGGAGTTTGGGAAGTTGGAATGATCATGTGGGTCGATCTTCGTGGTGGTCGATGTTCGATGGGAGACGCGTGCTCGAACCCCCCGGACGCGGATGGCGTCCATAAGGTCCTCATGAAGAACTTCAACAGACATTACAAAGGCAACCGCGCGCCCTTTAACCTGTTCTACCATTCAGCGTGGTTCAACACAGAACATCACAAGAAAGGTTTCCTCAGGTTCCTCGATGATATCCTGGCTAAGGTGAGCTCGAGCATTTCGATCTAATTCGAATGAGCTTGTCTCATTGAGAACGCGATCGATCCTCATTTCGTTCCAGAGATTGCACGATCCCTCCCATGTGTGCTAATCGGACTCAAACAATGCTCCTCCATCACGATTTCAGGGCGATGTGTGGCTCGTCACTAATTCCCAGCTGATCGAATGGATGAGAGATCCCACCCCGAACTCTCGAATCAACTCGTTTGAGCCCTGGCAATGCAACTACAGTGACAGACCCGGGCCCTGCAATCGACCCACAACGTGCTCGCTCCTCTATAAAGGAGGCGTCCGCTACATGAAAACGTGCCAACCGTGTCCCGACGTGTATCCGTGGGCTGGTAACACGGGATATGGTAGCAAAGGAGCCAAGTAAAACCGCTTACCATCAATTAGTTAATTGACAATCAATTAAGAGACGCCAATGAGCAAGCGGGACGCGTGCGCGGAGACGGGACTCGAGGAATCACCAACGATCCAGCACCGAGTCAACGCGAGGGGAAGCGGCGCCAAAGAGCCAGGAAGAAACGAAATTGAACCGACCTAACCATATGTATGTACTTCTGGTGGAACACCAACCCCTCCGACTTTTGCCAGCGTTAAACAGATGATTCCTCAGGTGGCGATTCTCCGATTTCCCCGTTTCCGCAACAAAGCCGACCGGAGGGAGAACGCCTCTGTAGGATCGCCGTTTGAATCGAGTCTTTCTGTCATTCCCGCATCACATTGCCATAACGAAGGGGGAATCCATTGAGAACGTCTCTCATTCGTCGGAGGAATCTGAGTTTCGCCGCGTCTTCCGGTTGAGCTGTCTCAATCCAGCCCGGCGAGCTCCTACGAAACGAATAACCGATGGGAAATATATTTATTGTCTGACAGGTGCTGAAACTGTGTTCCCATCGTTGAGTTGCCTGTCCAATGCTCTTTGCATCATTAGATAGCAGTGTTCCATGACGTGTTGTTCTCAATCGGTTTAGCTCAGCTCCGTGGCGCTTACTTAGAGGGGCATGCCCCGCCTCATATCATTTGAATCCCCCAGCCGATCCGGCTGTTCAACACGGTCGGAATCGCGTTCCCGTTCCGCACGGAGTCCAGCGTATGGTGTGGTCGGTCAATGTGAGTGCCATCTGTACCGAAGCGAGCATATAGCTGAGGAATCGACGATCGAATTCTCGATCCACCTTATTCATCCATGCAAAATTGGATCGATCTTGACCGGAATCCGAGAGAGAGGGACGCGGATGAATTTGGCAAACTCATCAAGCTACTAACAATTCGCGAGCGAAAACCGACGTCCTGAGTTGATCGATTCCCGAGTGAACTCCGGCAAGCCATTGAGCTGAGTGAACCGATTTTTGTCGAAAAGTGCGACGAGTCCGCTCGAGTTCCTGCATATCGAAGATACGAAACGGAGGGGAGACCCGTCGCGCGTACTTCATTCCGCAGAGACTCGCAGCGAACTCGTCTGACCTTAACTTGTAGCTGTAATCCAGCGGGCTGGCTTTTATACACTGAATTCGTTGGAAAGAAAAGAGCGGAAAAACTTGTTAGCCGTCCACGTTGTGACAGACGCTTTTCGGTGTCAGAGCAGTTGGTTGAATTTGATTTTTTGATGATGAGATCGAGGAGTTTATAATGGAATTGCTCTCTTGGAGAGCGAGGCATTAACAATTGAGCCACACGCAAAAGCAGTTTCTCAATCATCCATAGGAAAAAGCTCCAACATTTAGGATCCGTTCAGGACCCAAGCATAAATCAAGGTGGAATGACAATCAGGATCCAATTATCTAGAATCTCGCGGATTCCATATCACGCTTCTAAGCCTTTGGGTGAGGCACCCGATATTCCACAAATTTCTCCAATTCGTCACATCTTTCACGCAAATCCGATCGACATTGGACAGTTCGCAAGCAGGATTTTCTGCACCCTCGTCGCCTTCTCGCCTTTCGGAAGTGTATATAATTCATGTGGATGCTGTATATAGATAGGGATATGGGGGGTAGACAGCAGAAAGGAAGCCATAGTTAAGTTTGGCGGCGAGGAACGCGACGACGATGCGTGAAAAATTGCCAAGAATTATCGGGACCGATGAGAGCGTTTGATATGTCAAGGAGCGGTCGACTCGACGCGATCATTGTGAGAATAAACTTTTCTGTTCAAGCATAGGAGTCGAGAGGTTTCTTCCAAGAGCTTTATTCGAGCGAATATCGAGCAATTCAAGAACACTAACAAATTGATCTTGATGGTGAACGCACATCGCAGCATATAATCAAATTCATACTCTCTCTAAAAGATTCTCGGTCCACGCCAGCGGACTCCCCGAATGTCCGATTTTGCATAAGAGGAGGTAGGACAAAGAACTCCGACAAAAGCTACTGTCTCCCCGTCGAAACAAAGATGCTTTCAGGCCACGTGCTTCGATCCTGTCATTCTGTCTCTAACTAATAAGAGACGATCGAAAACCGATCAAGTCCAGCAGGTGACTGGCGAGTGATACAGACCACTCTTTTTCCTGACAATTCGGATGCGAAATTCCCCAAGCTTCCGAATAGATCAGTCGATTGTCTTTTTTTTAACGGCGAATCGGCTTCCCCTCCCCTGTAGACTATGAGAGACGACCTCGGGATTCCAGCTCTCCATAAATGTTACATGAAGTTCTTCCAGCGATCGTCGGTCTCCCGTCATGTCTATCATCCGATCAGCCGAACCAAACGGCAAAACCAATAATCTATTTCCCGAGCGGGACACGCTCGAATCTCATCCTACTTGTTGTTCTTCGAAGCAGGCCCGATGTGTACTTCATTCACCTTCTGTGCGAATTTCAGCGAATTGATAGTCTCGTTCACGTGAACAGCAGCGGGAGATACGTTCACAATCATGAGAGTCTTCGAGTTGCCACCAAGAGACGTCGATAATAAATGCGTGAGCTTCGAGTTCCGATAGGGCACGTGTGCGGCCTGGAAACAAAGAACGTAGACAGCTTAGAGCCAAAGAAAGCCGCTCCGAGAATCAGGCCCGAGGAGTCTCAATTTCTTACGCAATATTTTTTTCGGAGACTTCCCTCATCTATCCTCGTGGAATTCCTCTGAGCCTCTTGGCACGCGGAAATATCCTCACCTTATTGCCGAGGTTCATCATGACCGTAGAGAGCTGAGTCAGGGACGAATTTATGTTTTTCGTTTCCGTGAACCGCGCCCCCTCCGCCCCCGAATCCTTGACGCGTTCGGAGCCGGCAAGATCGACGAGATTGAGGACACTTTCCCGATTAACCTCATTGATGGAGTTCCTCGCCGTTATGTGAAGTTGGAAGACGCAATGCGAACGCGAAGATCGCTCATTGCATTTCGTTGCAGCGACACTGCGATGTTTCCGCGCTTTCTCCATCAGATGCGCTATCTGACGAACCGAGGTGACAGGAACGGAGAGCATGTTCTCCACGAACACCACTTCTCCTCGCTTCGGATCTGAGGTCACCCTGATATTGCACTCTTTCTTGTTCTTGTCGAGAAGGTCTTGGATGGTTTCATTATAGATTTCGATGAACGACGCCCCAAGAGTGTATTCCCAGCCGTTCTCCTTGCGCTCTTCGGTGAGTTGGAAGACTCTCCGGATGGCTCGGGGGATGATTCCCAGATGAACTTCTTGGCTTTCGTCTTCGAACTCGAGACTCGGGGGCCCTTCCATCGTATATGTTTTACCGGAACCGGTCTGTCCGTAGGCGAATATGCAAATATTATATCCGTCCAACGCCGATACAATCAGTTGCTCAACTTCCTCGAAAACGTCACATTGAGGAACATCCGCGCCTAAAACGCGGTCGAATTGGAATGGAACCGCGATCGGCTTCCCCCGGTTTTCGGGTTCGGTTTGGCCACGGTAAGAGTCTCCTCGGGGGCTGTTGCGACTGCGCTTTCGCCCTCTTCTTCGGTGACGGGTCGGATCCGAGCGAAAACGCGAATGTTGCCCTTAAGTTCGAGCATCTGGTTGTGTATGTACCTGAGACGGGTCTCGTTCTCTCGCATTCGGGCTCTCGCCGCTTCTTTTTCTCGAATCGCTTCCGCGAGCTCTGAACTCAATCTCCTCGTTTCAGCTTTCTCTTGATCCAACAAGCTCGTGAGACGTTTATTATCGGCTTCCTTGAGGTCCATGTCGCGTTTGTAGGAACGATGCTCGGCGTTTAGGGCCTGATAGCTCTTTTCCAGGCTTTCCAATTCGAGACTTTTCGACTCTAAGCGGGTCTTCAGCCGGCTGAGCTCTTCTTGACAATCTTCGAGTCTCGAAGTGAGGTCCATCTTCTCGCGTTTAAGAACCCTGCTCGAGAGTTGCTTTGCATGAGATCGATACATTCGACACATCTGGGAGCTACGAATACCTGCCGGGCACCTTTGCAGCTGGTACATAGCTCCGTATCTAGGTGCTACCTAGATAAAGAAAATTAAGATAGAGGAGAGAGGGTATGATATCTGGAGCCTCATCTTACCCAACTTCTTCGATCTTGTCTTGAATTTCTTCTTTGTACCTCGTGGATTCAACTGTGAGAGCCTCCTTCTCCGAAACCAGCTGCTCATTCTGCTCCTTGGCAGCCTGGGGAGAGAGGACGATGTTTGTCAGATACTCCGTCAGGGGATGGTCTGATCAGGGATGCTCATCACAGGAAGCGACGCAAGAAAAACCATCGTGCAGATTCTAGGACGTCAAACGAGCGAACAGACGCATTGACATGGGGAGTTCAGAAGGGTACCAGGCAATCTCTCGAGAATTGCTAGCTTCCGCTCTCAAGTCGGCTGTTTTTTTTGTCACCGAGAGACAACTAACCGGAAACGATAATGCAGACCGCCGATTTTTCAAAGGAGTGTTTAGAATCTGCCGGATGAGATTTTCTACATTTAGCCGTAGAGACCACCGATGCTTCCCCTCTCGATTCCGCTGGCAAATCTGCGGCGGGAAGATGCATCACCTCCTCGACTAACCTGAGTATTCTCTGCCATCTGTTTCTCGAGGTTCGCTAGCTTCTCGCAGATCTCTTTCTGACTCCATGTCGGCCCTGAGGAGCGATACTTCTTAGCCTGCATACGGTTTCAGACTCTTCACTTTTGAAATCCTATCTTCTGGAAATCGAGTCCACGAGCAATACTTGAACGTTTCGTACCTTTATTCACAGGATTCCGACCCGCCAAACCTGCACGCCCGCTGACGCTATTAGATCGGCCGATGGTGCTCGCATTGCCCCTCTTGCTGAGGTTGCTGGAGCTCCTCGACAAGGTCGAGCCGGTTGTATTTCCCGCGGCATTCGATGCATTTACAGCAGCCCTCGCCGCTCTTTGGGCCAGACCGGTACGCACTGCCGGAGCGGACGCACCCCGAACCGGAGCTCTCGGTTTCTCGAGCTCTCCTTTGGCTTCCGGCCGCGCCTTCTTTGTTTCTACAGGGAAGAAAGCCTTTCATATGAGTGCGCTACGTTACTCAGAGAAGTCAGGCTTGGGAAACGATGAGGATTTCATTTTCCTCAATCCTCCCCCAAGCAGTGTCGGCGTGGAGTATCAGGGATGAACTCACCGTCATTGAGGTTCGGTTGGCTCAGGGGTCGTTTCAACCCGCTGGCGCTTGCCAAGCCGCTCTGGAATTAACTTCGTATTAGCATGATGAAGACTACCAAGTACCCTATTTACGCGCCTTTTCAATCAAGATAATCAGCGAGACTCCTCCCCAGTTCGGGATATTGGAGCTGATAGTAGTGTCCTGACACTGATGATCCCCTGGGCTCCCTGAGGAGATATTTTAACGGTCTACCATCAGAGGAATTTCTCCGGAGAGTCCCGGAACATCACATCCGTGTGGACACAGATCCCCAAATCATGATGATCCTCGGAAGGTGTCTCAAAGCAGAGTTGGGGAATCTCGCTGAGCTCTCCGGTCATATCCCTCTACTGACGAACGGCGGGCCCCGTATATTTTGACTGGGTCTTTGAGGAACGATTCCCCGCGGAAACTTCCCACGACATCAATTCCGTTCAGATCGTGTTTGAGATACTTCTCAATTATCTCCACGTAAAACTGAATCGGTCAGAGCCTGGAGTGCGCCTCCTCCCGCTCAGTTTTCATGCATTCGATTCTGCCAACACTTCCGTCATAGATATGCATCGGGTAGATTCACCTTTGCAACGGTGGGCAGTCTGCTGCCACTGAGTTTCGACGGCCGTAGAGATGACATGGCTCGCTTTCTGAGCGCACAATTCACGCAGAGCACTCGCCAGGGTTCCTTGCTTATCAACACAACCAGAACTCGACGGAATGTTCGTCACGAAACTCTTCGCGCCTACGGTACCTCAGTCTGTGTTCGTTATCGACGTTGTCGGGAGCGAGCGAAAATTCAAACCTTCTCTTTCCCATTTCTGCTCTGGCGCGAAACTCAAAAATTCCCGCAGGCATTCATGCTCTGCCCAAGCGTAGACCGAGTCGAGGATCTTATCACTCGAGCCAGATTCTAGTCATGGGAATATGAACAAGCGGGGGAGAACGCGGAACTCTTCGCGAAAGGCCTCCCGTCCGGCATGGTCTGGATCTTCCCAGAGATTCCTCGCTTCTCTTCGGTTTTCACGCCGAGCTGGCATCCAGGTTTGGAGCTCATTCAAATCGCGTCGGTAGATCGAAAAGACTGATCCTTCTGTGAGTGCTCGCGTCGACAGATCTCATGAGGCAATCTCTGTTTCCGTCAACGGTAGATCGGCCTCCGGGGAGGGAATTTGAATTCTCCCGCCGAGTCATTCCCCTCTCCCACGGGTCATTCTGCTGTTGGTCGTCAGCTGGAAGCGAAAAAAAGAAGACGGAGTTTGAAGAGACTTGGCTCTGTTCGTCACTCGAGCTCCGAGGCGCCGAGTCTCTGAGTGATTTTCGGAATTCGTCGACCGCGAAGGCGACAGTGGTTGCCGGAGACCCGGTGTCTTCGAGCGCTCAAATTCTCGCTGTAAGTCGAACCGCATAAGGATGATTATGCCTCGAATGCTGGCCTTGTCCTTGATTGCCTGCTTGCATCGCGTTGTCTCCTACTGTTGGCGTAGAGAGCTACTCCAATTTTTCACGCAATCTCCTGACGCGACATCTGCATTCGGTCGTCGCCTACATGCAGTTGTCATCGTCGTCGCGCCGTCCGACGACGGGGCTGTGTCGGACAAGGCTATGATGCTGCAGCCCGTAGAGCTGCCCCACCGCTGTTCTTACTGTTGCAGCAGCGTTGTTTGCGTTGCTCCAAAGTAACCATCGGCCTTGTGTGCCGTGTGTTCTTCATTGGACCACCCGGTTCGGCCTGACTCGTCTTAGCTCTGGATTTGTGCGCTCGGACTCTGTCAGTAATGGAGATTTCCACCATCAGAAGCTCACTGTGCCTATACTGCGGATTATGAGTAGAACTCCGGAGTAGTACAGCCAGTACTTTCCAGTAGATCCATGCTCTATTCGCTTGAGCGGCCGAACGATTTCGGGGCCCTCCCAAGGTAATTGCGAGATAGGAGGCAGCTGGGTGAAATCAGAGCAGAATCGTGGACAATCAGGAATATGTACATGTGAAGAACAGAACGAGCTGATGTTTTCATTCGAGGATTCACACAACAATCATTGACCCACGGGAACTGCCTCTCATCGCGCGTGTCAATTCGGCACTCTCTAATCGAGGGACTCCAGCGCGCTCTCGAGGCTCCTAGGTCCGAAAGTTCGATCACCGTGAGCATGACTAAGTCTGGACTTTTAATTCTCGTATCGCAGCTCGCTATGCTCACCACCACTGGAATTGAGTCGAAATCGTTCTCGGATATTTTCCTCGGAATAGCCATTTCAGTTCAAAGCGTGGAATCGCATTTGAGTATACTCCTGTTTTCGATTGATTCGAACGGCATCGGAAGTGACTCCTGAGCGTAATCATGTGTGGAGCTCCTATACGATACGGGGTTGATGCTTATACATAGCGGCATCTCGGTTCACTGCGCCGGCCGGTCTAGCTCGATCAGCTCCGATGAATGAGTCAGGTGAACTTCAGATCGGACGCGAGATCAGCTAATGTGATTGAAGACCGCTAGCATACAGAGTAGCTCCCGTGGTCTTCGTCGAGGATTCGTTTTCCGTCTGACTTTTCGCAAAAGTTAAAGCTTACGGAAGTCCCCCGAGATCCCAGAAGACTTCCGAGGAGCTGGATCGAGACTTTCCCTGTGGCGATTGTTTTCTATTTACGGCGTCGCGACAGGTATTGCCTTCGAAAGCCTAAATCCATATGAGGGCCGCATCCGTGAGATCAATGTTCGAGTCACTTGCGATGAAAACTGAGCAAGCCACCGTCCTGTTTAGCTGACTGAGACCAGGTAACGCTAAGCCAGGGAATCACTGCTCCCGAATTTGCCCTAGCTCATCGATTGAGCTTTCATAATCCGGAACAGGACAACAGTTAGGATGTGTCTACGTGGTCTTCGCTTCGGTTCTATCTGATACCCATCTCGTTAATTGAGGGAGAATAGCGGAGAGGATGTTCCTCTAAATGTTTTGGAGAAACTGGCCCATTCCCTACATCTGAGCTCCGATTCCACCCGAGATGCTCAGATACCGTCAACTCGAGACCATCCGGAAGGCGTCATCTAGAATTCGTCCCCTCTCTGCTGCGTCGCGTCGTGTGTTCCCATTCGCGTCTACTACTAAGCCTGGTCGTTCGAGCTCCTCTGATAATGCCGCTGCGCGTCAACTTATACATACGAACGTAGGCGTCGGCGACGTAGCAAGTCATTTGTGGTCAACGCGCTTTGGATCAACTCAGCAGCAGATGGAGCTCATAGTCGAACATTCGGTGACGGATTCCTGCCTTATACCAACTGACGCGCCGAAGCTGTGCTCTTGACAGCGGCCCCTAAGCTCCGGTCGGGCGAAAAAAGAAACAACGACGACCTCCGACATCGAATAATCCAAATCTCTTCATGCTACAGGTTCCCGAAGTGGATATACTTACCTAAGGCCGCATCATCGACCGATATCCACAACGTCGGATCGCACTGATACCAGGGCCAGAGTCGGAAGTGTGATAGAATCGTCGGCGTCTGGCAAGTCGCTCCGCCAAACAAGTCATTCCGACTCGGGCTCATTGGGCGGCCGAGATGGGTAACTGCTTCAAAGCCATGAGCGGAGACAGCTTGTCCCTACTGCGAGAGCAGAGAGACTCCGTCGGTTCTCCTGGCGACATTCTTGGTCCACCGCCACCATACCAGCTGACTCATGTAGGTTTCGATGATCAAGCGCGGTACCACATTTCGATTCTCTCGAGTTTGGTGTATCTCGTGAGCTGCACGAGTACCTCCCGCGTTTGACTCGGCATTCCCGTACTTTTCATCAAGCGCGGTTTCCACCTTTCCAGCAAGAGGCTGTTCACATGCCCCAATTCCTCACGACCACTGCCTCCTCTAATACATCAGCGGTGGTGGGGACGCCATCGATGGCGGGTACTCCCCGCAGCACGCAAGAGGTGGAAGAGGAGATCAAGCATGCCCAACGACAAGGTTTCATCCGGCATTTGCCGAAGGTGAGCTCTGCCGATCTTCGAAATGTCTTACAATTAGTGACGAATCCCTTTCAATGAATAAGATTCGTAAGCTCGTGCAGGCACCGGGACTTTCGGTTCCGCTGCCTCGACAGAGTCCTTTTGGAGCCGCTCGTTAAATTCGATTTATCCATCTCTTTGCAGGGTCCATTCGACGGGAAGGGTGGCAAAGAATGTCCGATATGTATGGGCGAACTGAATGTCGGAGATCTAGTCCGCTTCCTTCCGTGCTTACACTGTTATCATGTGGAGTGTATCGATGATTGGCTGCAGAGATCATTGACTTGTCCCTCGTGTCTGGAGCCAGTGGACGCGGCCTTGCTGTCCTCGTATCAGGCGCCTTGATGGAAGTCGGGACCTCACGCGCGTTCCAAGAGGGTTCCTACCCTATTCCTATGCAGAGGAAGAATGCTGAGAAGAGATGGCATCGATTTCTCCGTAAGGCGAATCGAGAAAAATGCCAGTGATGCCTGTTGCGAGCCACAGACGTTCTTGACAACATTGCTAAGTATTCCAATCGCTTGGTATTCAGAATGAATGAGCAAGGGCAGACGAGGAAGAATCGATCGAGTGACAAATCTGGGGGCAGAAGTGATAGTACGCTTCATTCTGTGACTTCAGGTGTCCGCCAGTAGGTGATATTCCGGTTGGAAATGCTTCGTTTTCTTAGTGAGGATGACGTTGTTTTGGATTCTTGTTTCAGTTTTTTTTTTTCATGTTAAACAGAGAGCATCGCTTTGTTCTTATTCTTCGATATGATTTTCGAGATAGAGAGATAGTGTCTTATGTTGGGGAGATTCAGGGTGATCTTCCCCGAGAGCAGGGGATGTGGAATATGCTACGAAATCGTTTATGATTGTACGAATGAAATATGTGGTCAAGGACTGTGATCTGAGAAGTTCGTTCTCTTAGGAGTCATGAGTGGATGGTAGCGAAAGGGACAGACTTTTCCGCAGCGAGTAGATCGTCTTGATCTTCAACGTGCTGGTCGATTGCAGACTACTGACGAGTCCGTTTCGGGAGGCTATTTTTTTTTCTCGTCCAGGAATTTCACTGTGAAGCCTCGTCGAGAACCTTTAGGCGAATCCTACCTGCCACGAGTATCGCGCAAAGCAAATCGAATTTCGATATCCTTGCCGACGAGAGCCGCGGGGTGGAAACAATCGCCGATGATCTCTTCCGCGGATCAAGAGAACGAACCTCATCGTTCTCTCTGCTCCAGAAGAGACATCCTTCGCTGACGCTGCGTCAGCCTAAATCTTATTTTATGTCATCAGATCTATTTGCAACTGTTTCTTGTGGTCCCCCGTATGAGCTCGCGGAGATGAGCGGGACGACTCTCACAATCGGAATCGCGCCTTTTCTCATCGAGCCAGTGCAGTAGATGTCATGCTTGATGACAGAGTGACATTTATCCCTCGAGTTCAGTTCGACTTACTTAGTGTATTAGCCGTCTCTTTATGTATAACCAAAGTATCGGGTCGCTCTTTTGCTGTGATATTGAGAAGGCACCGCGGCTGCCACGAATCCTTTCTGAAGAGCAGACACTCGAGAATCGCAGAAAATGGATCAAAACGTTCAGACTTTGTACATGGATAGCATACATTCAACAGAAGCCTCTTTTTCGGTCTGATGAAGTGAATTCTGAATGATTGAGCTCACACGCGTGCCACTGTAATGCACTTCGGTAGCAGCAGGCTTCGGGGTTGAGCCCAAGCCTTCACCTATGTAAATTCTGTACATGAAGATATGAGGGCACTCCCATCGTAGGCTGAATAAAATCGAACCTTATGTGAGGATTTTCAGTATCCGTAGAATTAGGCTGCCTCAAAATGAAAAATCGAGAATCCGTCGGCGGGAATTTTCCGCCTTCCTTCTTCTCCCTCGCCCAACGAATCCTCCGGAAGAGTACCATCGGTAATATCGAACCGGAGCGGCTCTCACTCCTCCTTAATAATCGTAGGATATGAGGAGGAAACAATGGCCGAATGATGGCTAATGATAATGAATGATGACTAAGTTCAGTGATATGAGCCTCGATTCTGGAAGTATAGAATGAGTGGGCCGCACCGGCCGCTTGGATAACAGCGCAGTTGCTGGTGGTGACGGCAGTGTTTTGAAACATTCCTCTCTTCGCTCCGCGCGCGGATGAGAAAGGAGCCGGAGAGGGGCGTTTGTTTTGGGAAGGACCGTCGGTCGGTCGTCGACAAGACAAACCCAGCAGACGGCAAACGCAGCAGAAACGAAGGAGAACCCTGCCTGCTGCTGCTGCACGAACATCTGATCGACACCCTGACGATCGAGTGCACGACGATGTCATAAGGGTGCTCCTCTAGTGAGAGGGTGAGCTATCCGGATCTCCGAACGATCGCGGAATTCCCCGACAGTGGAAGTCGTCCTTTCTGATGCCCCCCCAGCACCGGGAACTCCATTCGCAAATGTGATCTGTGTGTGACAGCGAAAGTCGGCGGCATTGTGATCACAGCTGCGATGTCGGGGAGAATGGGTGAATGGAATCTCAAACTCCCTTACGAGGAGAAGCCAATACGATTACAGCCTTCGATGATTTTCGTCGGTCGGACCGAATGCGATATCGTGGTGAACTCGACCACTGTGGACAAACGACATGCCGTTATCTACTTTAATCAACAAGATCAGCAGTTCCACATCAAGGACCTCAACACACTGAGCGGTAAGTTCTCATTTCTGGCGAGCGTTTCTCATTGTGCTCTTTACCCGATCTGGTGCTGTCTTCCCGACGGACAGAGACGGCACGCGAACCGGTGACCCACTAAACTTATTGGGGAGCACCGCCGCCACATGTAACTTGTTCTTGAAGGAATCGATTTGAAAACTCGTCGGATACTTCCAGCGAGCCGGGCATAATCGACAGCTGTGGCTTAAGAAAAGTGATGGAAATGACACTACAAAGAAATGTTTACTTCGCTACAACTCAATGACTTGTAACGAGGAATCGTTTTTGCGGCTCCGTTGGGGTTGTATTGGAGGAGGAGAAGAAGTGCAGCGAGCTGCGGGTGGCGGGCGATGACTCAGCTCGACCGCCTGACTGCCGTCGGCGCTGCTGGTTGTAGTCGGATCTTCGGCGGCCGCTCAACTTACGGCTTGAAGTTACCGCTCGACCATAGTCAGCGAGGCAAGCCATAGAGCGGTGAGTGCTCTTTCAGTGAGGACCTTGCGTTTCTCACTAGCCGCCCGTCTGACGGCTAGCCTACCTGCTCGCTTACCAACTGACTGTCTATTCGTTCGCTGGCAACAGTTGACAACGTCTCGCGGGAGCCGGTGACTGTTTCTGCAGCCTGCCGCGGCCAATTTCAATCGCTTATTCCAGCGGTGATCGGGACCAGAGTGTTGACCATGGGATAGCAAACTGACATTGATTCTGGTGTTGATGCGGCCTTAGTGTAAACACTCGTCGAAGGTACGTTCAAATCCGCTTTACGGATCGTTCATCTGCTCCGGCACGATCGAATCGTCTCCGAACCTTGTTCTCTGCTAGTGGGTTCGTGCCGGACCGCAAGTCAAGTGCAGGAGACGAAAGATGTATTTCACGCGCATCAGTTTAGTTCTTACATTAGTGGAGTTCAGTGCATTCAGCACAAAATCTGCCAACCAACGATACCCTCGCAGGCGGATCACTAGGTCCAGAACAATAAAATATTCGATTCGCCGCCAAGTAGTCCCGTTTTCATCAGAAAGAGAAGAGCGGCGCCCTTGGCAACTTCGATCTTGGAGCCAAAAATGGATTCACTCCCGGCCGTCCAATTCTTCGTGACAGATGCTCGGCGCGGTGACTCTGTAAATATTTCCGGGCATTCCTCCGGAATTCGGATTCGTTTCCATTCACCGCTCCATTCGCGACCGAACGCTCCCCCTGATGTTCCGAGTTCCGACGAGTGAGCGCTTTGATCCTCCGGATGCCGGTACCGTACGGAATAATATTTCATGGCGTCGCCACCGATCGTTCCTAGGCTCCATTATATTGGAGGTACCTATTGGGGTCTGACGCTCGAACGATAGACTTCATTAAGCAATTCGATTGCTGGGATTCTATATTCCTCTGTGTTTTCATTGTTGTCAAGAGATTCAGAACGTCGTTGCATCACTTTGCCGAAGCAGCGGCAGCGAGAAGGACTTTGCGACCGTCACCGCTGCTGCGAAATAGTGGGACATCTGCTAGCATCCTTTTATCACTGGGGTCGAGTCGTCGTTCCATTCTAGAGCATCGTAATATATTGCTCCACAATCATCGTTCATGGTTACTCAGCTCGTTCTCGAAAGATCGAGCCCGTGGCCGTTGCCCTCCGAGTCCTCTGAGTATTCTCCGCGGTCATTTGGAATTATTCGCGCTGACACATGGTTGCTTATCCAAGACTCTCAAGAGGGCGACCCCAATATTCACCTTGGTGCCGTCGACTTCTAGCGCTCTGTTCAGACATTCGAGGAGTACTCAGTATCGAGCTTGCGCGATATGAATGAACAAGGTTCCCGATTCGCTCCTTCGACATACATAAATTATGGAAGAATCGAGACATAAAGGGACGAGCGTGCCCTCAGAGGAATTGGCTTAAGAGACTGAGACAATCATGGCGTAGGGAAGCATCTACTCGCGCTCCATGCCTGAGAGGAACTCAGAACGTGATCAAAGAGCCTTTTGAGGCTCTTCGCGGCTCGGAGCTTGACCAAGTAGTGGAATCCATGCCATGCGAGCATCGTCTCGGTCGAAGGTAAGAGGCTACGGATGAGTCGCACCGACAATAATTCTTGCGGATCATCGAGTATTGCCCGAAGCAAAAAATAACGGCCAGAACAGCTGGGTGAGGGACACCTTTTCACCTTGCTGCACTCCAGGTTATGAACTCGTGAAGATCTGGGAATTTTCCTGCTTTCCTTCTCTCACGAACACATGCTTTTGTTTTTCAACGGTCGCTTAGAAGAATGCCCCGCTTCCTGGCAGGTTGGCTTCTCGACTGACTGACTGACTGCTTGTTTGGACACCGAGGCAGAGCGAGTCCTTCCGACGACGCTGCTTCACCGGAAATCGCGGCGCCGGCTCGGACTCATGCGGAGGATTTGTTTTTCGCTCATCCTAACAAGAGTAAAAAGTCCGAAAGCGCTTCCAGACACTGCGCCATGACTGCACTTCGGCGGCGACCGCGTTCAACGCCACTGCGCGCGGGGAAACGCCCTACCTCTCCTCTGACGTGATTTCTAATTTCGGGCGAGGGAGGAGAAAATCGAATATCAGGAGAATTCCTGGAGCGCTATCTTGAAAAGACTTTCGCTCCGCGTCGCATCGCGACGTCACTTTATTTTCTCTTTTGGTTGACTGTGCCGTCGGAGCCAATCGCCGCCCCGCGCCGCATTTTCCGGTCTCGAAAAATTCAGGCTAAATCAAGTCGTCCGAATTGAGAAGTGCAATCCGAATATGACAAATCGATTTGTGAATCCTTCCGAGCCAATGAAGCGTTCCCGGTGGACGAAATACCGCATTTTCAGTTGCCAAAAGCTGGAATATACGATTCCGGAATCGTTCGAGGCCGTGTTTCGGGCTTGGCTCGATCCCGAATTCCGGGCCCCACCGATAGCTGAGGTGATGCATACGTAAGCGCTCCCAACCTGCACCAACGCTCTTAATAGGAATGCATTGTGCTGGTGTTCGGAAGATGACTGACTGAGCTATATCCAACTTTCTGGCACACGGGTCTTCCGGGTAGCGTTTGACCGCGACTTTGATTCCGCTTCTCTGGACGTTGGGCATACTGAGGCGCCCGAAAGAACGGGAGAGGAACGGTTTCGCGACAACAAAATCGGTGGGTGAATATGCGTGGGTTTATCCGCGTCCGAAATCAAAAGTAGCAAAGAGAAAGTGAAATGGGGAATCAGCAGGATACGAGGAGGCTGATCAGAGCGATTTCACCGGAATGATTTGAGATTCGACGAGAGTGACTTCCGAAAACGGTTCGCTCTCCAACGACGCAAAGCTGTCTCGAAAAATGCGGGGCCATGGAGGGCGCGGCCGGGCCGTACGATGCCGAAAATTGCATTGGCAGTGAGTCTGGAGTGATCATTTAGTCTGGTTGGATATCAATTCTGGGTCTCTGAATATCAATTCCTCGGAGTCGGGCACGCAATCCTCTTTCTACGGAGCTACGTGACGCTGCGCCTAATCACAAAGAGGAATTCGGCAGGATATTATATCCGACTGGGATTGTTCTCTATTGAATGATTCCCACCACGCATTGTTGAAGAGCTCAGGTCCGCTTCCTTACGATGGCGATGACAACGTCGCACCACATCCCGAACGCTCGGACGGAGCTCGCTCTTCTTGATCAGCTTCCGGTCGAGTCCCATCGGTGAATATCGACAGATCCAGGAACATTTTGATGATCTCGTCGATTCGACGTATCGAATCTGATGCCATTTTCTACCTGGTTGAAATGGGAGCCAACCAGTGTCGGGAAGCGTGTCCGGGACTCGGTTGAATTTCCAATCATAGAGGGTAATGTTGTTGAGGTGGAAGCCAACCAGTACCGGAGACACGGTTGAAGTTCCAATCGTAAAGGGTAATGTTGCGGAAACCAGCCGATTGACGCTCCCTGAACCCCGATCGACAATCTCTCACTCTCAGTCCTTTGATGATGGCAATTCAATGAATTGGAGCTCTCGGCTGTCTGAGGAGCTTGTCTTCCGGCGGTCGACGCAAGCTAGAGCAAGCGACGGTTGAATTTTCTTCCGACAGGGATACAGTAAAGAGGCCCAGAATGAACGAGCTGGATGAAAACCAAAGAGCAGAGCATCTCCGGAACAACTTCCAACGAGATGGAAACAAACGGTGCATTTGTGCTGCGTCGGAGATAGAACCATGAAATCAACGCCAGTTTCGTAACGTTATTCTGGCACGGATTACCGGCACGTTGATGCATCCAATACGCACTACTCACAGCCCACGCAATCCCTTGTAATGATAAACCACTCAAATTTAAGCTGCTGCGCTGTCTCCCGTAGGGCCCATATTTAGAAATATCCGGAGCCGTAACCCCTGTGAGGCATCATTCTCTTCGACCTGAATCTCGTGAGGAACTCAGCTGTGAATGATTCGCCCAATAGCACCTGACATCTGTGCAAGCGCTTTGCACCGTCTGGAAGCGTTAATTTTCCTGCTCGAATTCGCTCCGAAAATTTTCGAGAGGAAAGACATTATTCCGATCCCCAAACTCGAACGGCTCCATACTGCAGCCGATGTAACGGTGGAGCTGTCTCCAGGCGGGTAACTGCTGACTCATGTGTCCATAATAGCTGGCGGCAACTTCTGTGACCGCAGCCATGTCTGATCGGAGGTCGAGTCGATGGACAGGACCGACGCGGCCCCTGATGAGTGGTCACGTTGCTGAATACTCTACGATGAAATGCAGGCGGTTTTTTTTGACGTTTCTTGGTCGGATGAATACGGAATGAGAAGATGCGGTGCTGCTGACCCCAAGCGAAGCCGATGTGACACCATTAGTGAATTATTTCTGTCGGATTCACGGTTCAGGAACCGGATTCGAACAGAATCATCCCGGACCGGGCCATAGCCGGTGACGTGTGCGGTCGACGGGCAGCCTCCACGTTCAATACACGTCTGATTCGGTGATTGCATTCGGGAGAGAAAATTTTCAAGAAAACTTAATCGGACCGACGAAAAATCACGTGAAACGGGGTAGTTATCCGATTAATGACAGCATATCAGCCGCATCCTCGGGAAGCCCTCAGATGGCTGTCGTGGGAGTACGGTAGAAATCATTGACGTGAGTTGATGTCGAAATCCCAGAGGAGCGCTAGAGCGGAATACCTTGGTCGTCGCGGGCCGCGTAATCAATCATTAATATCGGTGAAAGACATTCTCATCTTCAAGGCTCGGTAGTATGGGAGAAGGACCTGAGGACGCTCATTTCCATTTTCCAGGCACCTACGTCAATGGAACGAGAATTCCGGAACAATCATACGTGAAACTCGAGCATGGAGACCAGATTCGTTTTGGCTACCATAAACAAACTTATGAAATGCAATTGGTCAGTGATGATATGCCGACGCCGACTACTCCAATGGACGACGATGACTCTCTCAACGACGCCAAGATGAATGTGAGTTGATCCGAGCAGCTTCGAGTATTGGAATGCTCCGATCGGGAGAAGGAGACTTCGATTTCCGTCTCATTCTCGGTTTCTTCTCTTTCAAGAACGTGAGTCCAATGAGGGGCATGGACTCATTGGAGGACGTGTCTGTGACTCACGGTCGTGCGTCAAAGGAGCTTTATAAGAACAATTCTGTTCCTCAGTTGAAGTCTCCAACGTCCCCCCGATCCGAAGGAACGTGCATTCCCCCGAGCGACCTCCCATTGAAGAACATGGTCTCATCGTATTGTGCGCCGGTCAGATCTCCCAGTGAGCCTCAAATCGACAACCGGATGGTCGCTAGTTTGTGGGATAGCCAGGACGCTGGTGCGAACAGGCTCAGAACTCCGACAAGACGACCTCCTGCCGTAGCGATGGTGATACCCGCCGGCATCACTGACAATGGTCAGCGATACAGTAATCAGTGAGTATTCGGTGAACGCTCGCAAACAAAAGGGATCGATTTACAGATCAATCGTTAAAAGATTCTGATTCATCGTTAAAAAGCGTTGGACATGCGGCCGTCTTCGTAATACAATCAGAATTCGGCATGACGCGCGCTACACGTGGGTTGCAGCTCTCACGACTTTTGACCAACTTTCCCGTTACACGGATGTAGCAGATCAGCAGATCATGACAGACACATTCTCGCCTGAGATCAACCAATTATTATTCCCGAAACATCCGAAATCGATGGAGAAATCGCGACAAACAACATTTCAGATCTTCGTTATCGTCGAGCTTCGCTTCCGAGCACCAAAAGATCGTATGACTGGTTCCTCCTGTCTCCTCCGAGCTTCGCGAGAGTGACCTGTTGTGAAAATCGCAAATAGAATCCGTTCAGAATTTTTTTCCAATGTATCGGATGGCTCAGTGGAACAGACCGCGAGGGTGTGTGCGTCACGAAGCGTTTTCACCACTTGGTCCGGCGCTTAGTCATCGAAGGACTTTCGAGCAGTGTTGGCGTAAAAGAAAAGGCAAACGCGGGGAGACGGATGGGACAGCGCTCCGCGAGCCAAACTATCCCAGTTTAGCTCCGTCTGGTGACGAGTCAACAGCCTGCAGAGTCCCGATGGGTTTTTTCATCAACTTGGATTTCCCTCCCAGGAAAGTGAACAATGTCAAGCCCGCAGAGGAGACTAACGGACAGGAGAAGGCCAAAGCGTTTGTGATCAACTTCGATGAACCAAAGAGGAGAGCATCGATCCCTCAAAGCGTGCTCCAACGGAGGGATCAGGCCGCTCGGAATAAGGAAGAGGACTGCAGGGTCAGTGGGGATTCCACGGGGGCCAATGGGAATCTCTCGGACAGTGCCAACTTTCTTATTCAGAAGATGCTGCAGAGTAACGAAGGCATCAACGCAGAGTAAGCGAATTATTATTTTTTTCATCGTCCTCCAACGTGCGAATATTCGAGCGAAAAACTCTTATATTTTTCTTCTTTCAAGGATCACACGATCGATTCTCACTTAAATCAGAGATTTATTTTAATGGGTCGATTGAAACGATTTAACAACGATAGTATCGGTGGTATGATACGTAAGCATGAGAGCATTTACCTTAAATCAGAGAATCGATTTTCACGTGGTGAATCCCGCTCTTGGAGAACGCAGAATGGCTAGAGCCAGATTCTCCTATCTCTGGAGAGAAACGTGGCGGCAGTTTTCGAAAGGCGCCCTCTCTCAATATCGGCAGGGAGCAGGGACGATATTACATCCTCCCCCCCCCCCTCGTCTTCCTGAGATATCTAAACCAGGAAGTGAATAGGATCATCCAGATTTGTTCTCCTTCAGGATGAGTTTGCTTGCGTGGAAAATGTTGGCTTCTTTTTTTCGCTTCCCACAATCGATCTCAAACATGGAGTTGGAGACTCGTTTCAGCACACGGAACGGTCCTATTCTCACATTATCTAGTTTGTTTCGATTGAGTTTGTTACCATTCTCAACGAAGACGAAATCTCCAACTTTTATGCGGCAATTCACTCGGTTTCTATCGAAATAGGCTTTGTTTCTCTCGAAATTTCTCATAGTGTTGAGGAGAGCTTCTGCTCGATCCTTCTCTAAGTTGCTTTCCTCCACTAGATTTGTTGGAACGATGCTAGATCTTGTCCCGTCCATTAGATAATTTGGTTCGAATCTCGTGACACTATGAATGGTCGAGTTATATTCCTTAACACATTCTTCAGCTATTCGTGACCAAGGCCTATTCGTACTTTCGTTGATTTTACATCTTATTCTATTGACCAAGGTTTGATTCAACCTTTCGTTTAAACCGTTCGATGATGGATTATTCACTGAGGTGAAAACGAGCTGAATATTTCGCTTCTTCAGATATTGTTTTAGGTCCTTAGAGTTCAGGGCTGAGTACTGGTCCATCAAAATTGTGCAAACTTTCTTATCGCGTGTAGTTTTGTCGATGAGATCGATGAATTGTTTGGTCGTCTGATTACTTGTCGTGGCGACGAAGGCTTTACGAGAGAAATGATCCACTAGTATGTGCATGTACTTTTTCGGGGATCTGTTTCCGGCGAATCCACCGACCGTATCGATGGACATTATTTGGAAGGGTCTCGATGCTGGGCCTAACTGGGATAGTTTCCCCATAGGTCTACTGTTCCGAGTCTTGTTCTTGATGCACACATCACAATTTCTACAAAAGCGTTCTAAGAGAGAATCCATGTACTTGAAATAATAGAATGGTCGTATCCTGGCCGCTAGGTGATGTTTTCCGATGTGACCGTAGAAGTCATGAACTTTTTGGATCAACCAGAGTCCGAATTTTTGAGAAACGATCAATCGCTGCCTCTCCCGAATTTTCTTGAAACTCAAACCATCCCTCCATATGACGTTTTTCATTCTTTCGATATTTGGATAGTTTGCTTTCTGATCGTGAATGATTTCTTCCAAGTTTATCAAATTGACGACCTTAAGAACATCGTCTTCGTTCTCGAAACTTTCCAGGACCGGATTCCTGGAGAGTGAGTCCGCTTCCACATTGTCTTTGCCGCTTGCGTATTTGATCGTGAAATTATACTGAGAGAGATAGTATACGAGATCACCCAGGAATTCGTCGGTTCGCGCTTTAACTCTCAGAGTCTCCAGCGGTTTGTGGTCCGTTATTATTGTGAAGTTTCTGCCGATCAACCAATATTGCCAGAAGATAATCGCTTGTTTGATTGCCAAACACTCTAGATGAATCGCTTTTTCTTTCGCTCGGCTGGGCTGAGACGCTTCGAGAAGTAAGCGACTGGATGTAGGACATTATTTTCCTGTGGTTGTTTCAAGATTGCTCCTACTCCTTCGCCACTAGCGTCCGTGTAGATGAACACTGGTTTGTTCGGGTCATAAATACTCAATACGGGACTCGTACACAGGTGGTTTTTGATATCGATGAAAGCTTTCTCGCATTTGTCTGTCCACTCGAATTCCACTCCTTTTCTCAATAGATTATGGAGTGGTTCTAATTGTTCGCGGGCGTTTTCTATGTATTTATAATAGAAATTTATCTTCCCTAAGAGTTGCCTCACATTTTTCTTCGTCTTAGGTCTTTCGAAGTTCCGGATCGCTTTTAGATTGTCAGTGGCTGGCCTAACACCATTGTTCTCGATGATATGTCCCAAGTAGTTCACTGAGTTCTTGGCGAAGTCACATTTGGCGAGTTTCAGCTTGAAACCGCTTTCTTGAATGGTTTTCATTACCGTCTCCATGTGCTGCACGTGCTCGTCGAAACTCTTGGAAAACACTAGTATATCATCAATGTAATTGATGCAACAGTGCTCCAGGTTGTTTTTTCGTATTAGGTTTGACAGAATCCTCTGGAATATGGCCGGCGATATTTTCAGTCCAAACGGTAGTCGGGTCCATTGGAAGTGACCGCTTTGAGTCACGAACGCTGTTTTCTTCTTGTCTTTCGAACGTATTGGTATGGACCAGAACGCGGAGTTTATGTCCAATGTGCTGAACCATTGACAGCTACCTGCTTTGACTATTATGTCGTCGATCCTGGGGAACGGTTGGGATTCCGGGACCACGATTTTGTTCAGCTCCCTGAAGTCGATGCACAAACGGCTACGTCTATTGTCTTCTTTCTTGAAAGCCAGTGTGACGGGGGCTGCAAAAGGAGAACTGGATTCTTCGATCAAACCTCGCTCAAGTAGTTGAGATATTTGTGAATTTATCTCCGCTTGATCTGGCATCGAGCATCGATAAGGTTTTTTCGAGATATATCGATCCTCCTGTAGCTTGATTCGAGCCTCGTATTGCTTCGTCACACCAATATCGAATTTGTCTTTCGCAAAGACTTCATGGCATGTCTCAATTATGTCGTGAACTTTAGCGCGGTGTTGAGAAGGTAAATGATGTAGTTTTGCTGCAGTGGAGTGGAGTTTTTCCTGGTCCTCCGTTTTCTGCGTCTTCTCGGTGGTTTGAAGCATATTTTTGTTGAGATGTCCTACAACTTCTCCTTTTGATTCGTTTGCAGTGTCGACACGCTCGAATTTGCCTTCTCCAACTTTTTGCAAGATATGCAAATTTTCGTTTTGCAGAAGTCGGAATTTTTTATGGCATCCAACCCGAGTAGAATATCATACGAGAAGTTATCATTCCGTACTACATACGCATCTATTTCTTGAGCCACAGCATTGATTTTCATTCGCAGTTTGGCCCGGCTTCTCGTGAAATTCATTCCGCTGATTGTTTTGAAGGAGTATTCCTGATTTATTAATTTGGACTTTAATAGATCCACCAATTTATGGTTTATCAGGGTCGCATTGGACCCGCTATCGTATACTGCTCTAACCTCCATTCTGTCGTCAACAAAGACGTTCAATTTTATCAATGGAATGAATTTCTCCGGGCAATCTAGTTTTTTGATCGTTTTCCAAATTCAACGCCTGCGCATTATCGAAATCAGAGGATTCATTCACGTTGATTCGTCCTCTGTTCGAAGATTTGTACTTGTTGCGACATCTTTCTTCTGGATGGTAGCGACCGGGATAATT